TTATTCGAACAGTAACAATTTATCTATTTCTTTGTATTATTACTATTACTATTATGTCTTTATAAACATGTATGTTTGATCACAAGTGACAGCATACTCACATATCCCTCAATCTATCTTAAATGTTAGTCGTTTAAATAACGCTCTATGAATCATTCGCTTTCCCACGTATATATGCGCTTGAATCTTATTACTTGATTCGATTCAACTCTGAATTCTCCTCCGTATTCGCTCGTTCGCGCTTCGTGTTGCTTTCTGAATTAGTACACCGTTGTGATTTAATTAATAACGGTTATCAAGGTGAATAATAGACAAAGCCTAAGGAATCAGCTCGAAGCCAAGTCACTACAAAAGTCCCTAAAATTTAAAAGGTAATGTTGCACAATCAATTTAAAATTAACTTCATCTTTTTGATGTTTTAAAAGTATTGCAACATTAGTGAATGTCGATTGGAAAATTACCTTTATGCAGATTAAGATAACTAACTTTTATACCTGTTTAGATATTAATCTGCTGATAATTTAGGCAATCAACAACATTCAGTATCATTAGTTCAAATTATTGCGTTAGAACATAAAAACGACTATCATTTCAATCATTTTATCTAAAATTAAACAGAAAAACTGCAATGTAAGACTGTTGAGTTGGAAGAAAATCAGTGCTATTAAAATAATACTAAGTAATATGTAATACTATTTCAATCAAGGACTTATTACTCTTCATTTGTGTGATAAATATAACATTTTTTTAAAATTCCTTCTATATAATCTGATTAAAGTATCAAAGGGATGACGAAGAAGTGGTTTATTATAAGTAGAGTTTGGATTTTAAATAACAGCTTGTAGATTCATACCTCAACACATCATCTTTAATTTCGATAGGCAGATTGTATCACTAATTCTTTTATTATAGTTATAGCTTCAAGTTAAGTGCACGAACTTTGTACTAGATAATTGTAGTGAGTTAAATCTCTATACAGCTTTAGCCAACTGAGTTAACAACAGTAAGTAAATATTCGGTAAATCGTTGTAATACTTAGCTAAAGGACAGTATGTTGAGCAGCATGGTCTATTTTTTAAATAACAGTGAAACTACGATATATTGATGTTACAATTTATGACTGAAATATTTGAAAGTATAGTGAAAAGAATCCAATAGAATTTTAGATTTTAAGAAATGAATTTAAATGAAGATAACTAGCTAGTTAATATGGTATGGATATATACACGAAATAATTTTGAAACTTAAAATACTCTGTGTTCCATTCCAAATCTATCATACAATCAACAACAACAAAAAGAAAATCTTCTAATTGAATATTTTATTATGCTTCTAGAAAACAACTAAAGTCTTAAACAAACATTTACTTCAATTCAAACCATAGTTGAGACCGGAAAACTATTCTAATCAAAGTTATTCCATTCTATAATCCAGACTCAACAATTTATAACCTTAACAATAACAATAAAATTTCCTGAAGTTCTAGTGAGAAGTCGTGACCAGTAGAGTTCAACCAGGTCTCTGGCGAGAGTGGATGTTCACTTTGGGACTCGAACCCAATACCGTTTGTTTCAAACTTCATCGCGTTATTCACTTAGCTATTGAGTTCTGATAGTCACCTGCTTGTGTGATGGGCTGAAGTTTAAATTTGCTTGCTGTTGTTTTCCTTTTATCTTCCTATTAATTACTTAATTCTTTTCAATATGATATTTTAATTTAACAATTTACAGATTTGAATTCACCAGTCAATCTAAGCTAAATCACTGGAAAACCGTTTCGAGTGAGTATGAGACTACTCATTAGTACGCGTTCATAATTCCATACATGGGACTCAAACCAAATACCTTCGGTCTCACACACAAACGCCTAACCTCTGGAACGCTGATAATAATCATGTGTTCAAGATGGATTTCTTGAATTTTTAGTGAGAAGCCGTGACCAGTGGAGTCCAATACTTGTCAGGTATTTGACAGTTATCCACCTCAGACAATGGATGAATGGTTGTGCTAGATCATGGATCGATTGAAGTTAGACAGTAGCACTGTTGGATGCCGGCTCAGTGGTTTAGAGGTCAGGCGTTCGTGTGTGAAACCGAAGGTCCTTAATTCAAGCCTCTTGTAATGGATTGTGGATGCGTGCTGGTGAGGAGTTTTATACTGAGACGAGACCGCCGTTCACTGCTTCTAGGTTTTCAATGATGGTCTAGCTTAGATTGACTCGTGAATTCAACTTACAAAATACTACTATTCACTATGCGTGTTCATAAACATGCACCAGCATAGTTGGAAAAAAGCGTCAAGAAATATATTAACAGCGCCGTCCTTTATCACCTGGCGGTTGGTGAATATCATACTAAAGTCGACGAAGTTTTTTTCTTTTCGTATCAGTTTCCAGACAATCTGCACAAGGAAGCAGGAACACGGTTATTCAACATAGCTGAAACCATCAGAATCACCTCTAGACTACCTAACTTATATGAACAAAAGAGGTTTCTTCAGCCCGTATTTACCCTGTTTTACGATTGGGTTATCACATAATTAAACTGAACACTGAAAACCATTTACTTCCTGATTCATTTTTTGTTGATATCTCCATTGTCTCCTTTGTAGTCTACATATTCATCTTTCCCAATGAACATGAATTTCTTTCCATAATTACCTTGGCAATACCTAACTTATTAAACATTATATTCACACAAAATTATCCTTATTAGCATCGATATTATTATTATTATTAACTAGACTAAATTCTTCTACTATACACTTTATTTACATGATTTATTTTATGATTGGATTGATTATAACCTGATAACTTACAACGAATGATTCTAACATTTTTTTAAAAACAACCTCTCCAGTTTGCGAATGACACATTTCCGAAATATTTATACTTTGACAGTTACAAAAGCTCACTTTTACAAGGTCATAACGTCTTGCGTTTGCATTGTAACATAGTAGTTACGGACGTATAACTGTTTATTTCAATTTTCTCTGTTTTTTATCGAATAAATGTAGAGTAACCCTTACAGTAAATACTTTTATGAACCATCAATGTTGAAACACAATAACTTTGATGATTTATGGTTTTAGATGGGAGTATATATATTCAATTTGAAGTCAATTCCTTCGCAAAATCTGCTGCTTACATTGCATATCTTTACACGACTTATATTTTTCACTAAATATTTCCGTGCTACTTATAAGTAAGCTCGAATAAATGAATTAATTTTTACATTTTTATAATTTATATTATCTGCCTCAATCAAAAAGTCAATTTTGTTGAGTATGATTAAATGCATAGTCTGATTTACTCTATATGAACCGATAAACCATTAGAAGCTGTAAAAATGACGTAAAATGTCGGTAAAAGTAGAACGCACGACAACAAACACATAAGAAATAGATCTTCGAAATGGTAAAGCCTTTTGTAACATTGACGTTTTTCGTAAACCAACAAGCGGAAGACATTTAAATCAGAACAATACAGACAGATCAAAAGATTTGTGCAAAGTAATCCAGAAGCTACTTCATTAGTTTCGGTCACTTACAAGAAAGCTGGTCACATAACAGGATCTATTCGTAAATTTCCATTTTTCTACGCTCGTTATAAACATAAAACGTATATGTTTACATTGAAACTGATTTTAAGTTCGTTCATTCAATTCAGAAGTGTGGAAGACGATTGTTTTTAGTCAACCTTACAAAACCCATTGAGGGATTTGTTGTAGGATCATCATACTGATATTTTATACGAATTGAATGATGTACAAGCTTATACTGATTTATTGTTATGATAGGTATATCTTCTGTCTGGTACAGTACCCTCTATACTACGTTTGTTGACTTACTGTATCGCCTTGGTACACTGCCCGACTTCAGTAAGCTGTGTGCCATGAGCTTTGTGATAACGATCAAACAAAATATCAATAAAATAGCCTTGGAACTCGGACATGTACTTGAATGACTAATAAATATTGGGATGGCGTATCTGTAGTTTCATAGTTAGCATCTTAAGTGCTGAGGTGTTTTTCAATATGTCGCAGAGAAAGCTACGGATAAAAAATTGCTTCTGGTTAAACGGTATCTTACTTACAAGTAATAGAACTGGAATCCAAATTCTGTACCAGGTAGTTTGAATTACTTGGAGCAGTACTAGGAATCTAAAGTTCGACAATTCACCAACTTGTCAAAAAATCGACTAAAGACTAGTACCATGATATAGTATACGTGTGCGATAACATGTTAAAGTAACATTTTAGTAGGATCAGTCACAGTTTTGTATTCATTAGTGTACTCAGTAAAGAATAATAGTGTAAATCAAGTCAATACAAATAGTAAATACTATTACATGTATCATATCAAAAAATATTTAATACAACTCGATATTTCATAGCTAGTTCATGTAATCAATTCCGAGCAATACAATTATTTTAAGGGTTAATGATACTATTCTTCAGCTCCGTGAATACACTGAATGAGGTTCGAATCTGTAATATAATATTTTAACTACCTAACTACGGTTTCACAGAAAAACAACAAACAGCTCATTCTTTCTTGACAAAAGATAACTAAATTATTATCTAATTCAGTATCATACTATCGGGTATGGAATTTTCTATCAAACTCCATCTATTTTGTATTAAAAGTGATTTAACGATAGAGTCATTAGAGAAAGTATCTAGTCATCGGATTTCTCATTAATGTAAATTATTTTCAAATTAATTGTATCATCAAAAAGATTAACTTTAGTTAATTCCATTTTGTACTTTATTTAATGAACAAATACTATTACCGGGAAATAATAACAAGTTTAGTTTGATTCACTACAATACACAAACAAACACATATTAACTATTGATTTAGTTTGTATTATCAAATAAAAACAATAATATATTGGGGGGGGGAGACATTGTTTGCACTTATTTTAATAATTTATTTTCTGATTCGTAGAAAAATTAGTTTATAAATCAATAAAATCTTGTTTCTTTTAATACACATTAAGATACTACGAGTATTTTTTTAAGGTCAATGGTGTTGAAATCAAGTTATCAATCGTTTTAGCGTATATTATTTACAATATTCAAGATTATCATCGTCTGTTAGATGAACAAGAATAGAATGAGTACTCGTAGAGCTCATTCACCTCGAACAAAAGATGCTATTTACTGGTAAGTGTTACTATCTTTCATACTGCTTATTGTTGATTACTTAGAATATATATTGATTTTAATTCGTAAGCCAAGATTTTCACTTATCGTTACTAAGCATTAAAATATATAGAGAGAAATACTAGTAACTTCATGAAACTATTCCTTACTTTAAGATTTGAATAGGAGTTATTTTTAATACGTAGAATAATAAAACCACACTTTATTCCTTTTAAAAAAACAAACATAAAGGTACATATAATTTCGGTTACCATTTTAATAACCAGAATTATGTAACCATTAAGGATTTTATCTGAAATTAGATTTATATAAAATGATCTGTTCTAATAAATTATTTTAATAAAGTAACAAAATCAATAATTTAACATTTTAAAAAAATAATAATAAAATGAGTATATTCTATTACAAAGTAACTTTTCTAGTGGTTTTCATAGTTGTTATCACTAATTAACATTACTCTAACAATCACTGAAAATGAATAAGTCTCGAATCATAACGTTTAGAACTTATAACTAAGTGTATGTTATAAGAAGTTCGTTCCTATTCCTTTTAAGCGGACTTTGTGAAATTTAAAGTAAGTCTTTATTTATAGTATTCTAATGTAAATTTATATGAATAGTTAGAAGTAAAAAAAAAAAAATACGGCGCCTGTTAAACTCCGAATGTTTAGGCTAGTTAATCGTTTTACATAAGATGATCAGTTCAACGGCCTAATACATTCTTGTTAATTCTGAGCTTAGATTTCTACTTATTCCTATCTCAGCATCATCATCTGAAAAGATGCGGTGAAGAAAACTTTGATATCTGTAAATTGTAGTTTACTTAAATTTTTTTTTTGTTTTCAGTTGTTCAGTGCTTAAAAATGAATTATTCTGAATGCCATTTCTTTCATAAGTATTTTTCAGTGTTTTGCGATCTCTCTTCCACATTACCGGGAGTAAAGCGGTTTTGACCTATGTGTTTTATGATATGTTTTATGTTATATATGATCCATTTTATGTAATTTTATAATAAATTAAACATTGAGATGACAAGTCTCCTATTTGTTGCAAGGCAATATCAAGAATGTTAAAAACGGAAATCATAGCCGGGAATGATACATCTGAAATACACACAGACCTATGAGACTAATATTCTGGTTATCAAACTAGCAGATACCAACAATTGGTACAGATGATCAATTAGGTTTCTTCATTTCATCCCATGGAAGTTCATCAAAACTATGAGTCAATATCAATATCAAATACTTACTGAAATATTCCCTTTGAGAAGTTATTGACTGTTGCATATTCGAAATCCGTCAAATGTTGTCTAACGAATCATATACTGATAATTACCCTTATTATTATTATTATTATTATTATTATTATTAGTAGTAGTAGTAGTAGTAGTAGTAGTAGTTATTGTTTTTGTTGTGGCTTTTGCTTAGCCAGTTTGTAATGATAAATGTAAACCCTTCGTAACTTTCTGTTTCATAAAAGCAGTAATTCATTAATAACTAATTCAGTCATTTCTTTTTAAAATACTTACTAGGCGCTATCATTGGAAAAACTCTGATCCTGTTATGATAGCTAGAAGAATCGGTACAATAAATTGGGTTCTTTTGCGTGATAAGGTGATTGGTGTTATTTTCATTTCGCTTATTATTATCAAACATTTTATGTTATGTAATAAAATTTTTAGTTAATTGTACGATTTCAGGAAGCATTGTCTAGTTTGAATTACTAGGAACACAAAAAACTAACGTGTACTGAATTCAGAGCTTCCTTTCATGTATGTATATTGCTTAAGAATTACAAAACAGTGTTTCTTATTATAATGAATTTGAATATACGATTTTAATAGAAGTACATCTTTCGAGATTTAGTATAGTCAGATAATTTGCATATTGTATGCAGTGTTACATTTTCTTAAAGTGAAACGAAGTAGATAGGACGAATAAACTGATAGTGAGACCGCTTTAATTTTTCAGTGAGTTTCAAAATTAGTAAGAAATTGACACAAATATGATTGTTTCATTTTTCAACACATCGAAATGATTAAAAATAAATATCAAATAATACTTACACTTTCAGATAAATGAAATGAATGATAGACATGAGAAAGAAGCTAACCCACACACCATACGTGCTCAGATTATTGCATCCCAGTTACAAAATATGTCAAGAGAAACAACAATAACTCATACAAAACATGAAGATGGCTTTGAAAAATATACAAAGGAAATGAGTATTGAGTCTACTGATCATAAAGGTGGTCCATACACCAAAGGAATGACACCAGAAGAACGGAAACAGTTTTTCAGAACAAAATTAAATCAGAAAGCTCGTGAAGGTTTTCGATTTTGGGTAACCGAACGGCCTAAACCAACAAAATGTAAGCGTAAACACTTATCGATATTAATGTTTACATTAAGCAGTAATCATCTATGGAATGATATATTCCTATATGTGTATTATTATACATTTATATATTTCTGTAGTGTAGTTCCAATGAAAGAGTATTAAATTAAAGCTAAAACATGTGTTACCTTAAGCAATAGTTAAAAGAAAGTTTAGATCAAATAGAATAGATGCATTTGAATGTAGCTTCATTGTTTATTAGTTATCAAAACTTATTATTCGTAAGAAATAATGAAATGTAATCATTGGAAGAGTGTAGTCTAGAGGTGAACTAAGTCAGTGGGTATATCTTGCTACAAAGTACAGAAAGGATTTTATCAGCTTCCAGTTTGCATTTAAGTCAGATATTTAGTATTTTATATTCGAAATATGTAAATTCATAGGGGTCGGGAAATTATCCGTAACAATTTATGTTATCATTAAAAATTCGTTAAATTTGTCGTCATTACATCCAAAAGGGAATTTTAGCAATACAGTTAGCTCTCAAACCTCATTCATTAAAATACTGGTAGTTAAATATTTCGAACAGCTAACGTATTTATCTTGAAACTTGATCTATTCTGTTCACACAATGATAGTCAGAAGCACTAAAGAAAATTAGTAATACTCATGTAGGGCGTGCAAATTATGCTCACAGATATAAATAGAATTTAACAGTAATCGGAAGTGGAATGCCTACCAGTAGAAGATTGAATTAAAGAGAACATGAAGTGTAATTAATGGAGACTCAGGTGAGGGACAACCAATTTATTGTTTATTACAAAACTACAAAATATTTTGGTACATACATTGAATACTTCACTTCCATCATTTGTTCTTTACACTCTATTCTTCCAGTTTTTAATTTCTTTCTGTTTCCCTTTCTATTCTCTTCAACACGATCTTCTTAGCCTTCTGCTGCTAGTTTTTCCACTTCCGATTGGTGTTACATACTACTCGTGTCTGATGATATAATTAGCTTACACTACAGAAGAACAACTCAATGAAAATGCGTAAATGATGTATTTTAATATATAGTTTTCATACTTTACGAAGGCACTCCGTAATTTTGCATTAAACAATAAATTGGTCATCACCATCGTCTTCGTTCACTATCCCTGAAAAATAAGTGGTTTGGGATTTTTCTATCATCTGAATGTTTCAGTCTCAGTAGTTTTAATGAAAAAAGTGTTGAAAGAGCTTCCTAGAAAATAGTCTAGAAGCTTAGACACTTTTTACCGACAAGCGCGTTAACAATAGCCGTTCACAATGCTACTATGCTATAACATATTATGCCAAGTTATCAACAGAAAGGCCAACATGTTGTTCGTGTGGTCAATGTTTAAAAAACAGTACTATCGAGCCTATTACCAGTACGCCCATTGAAATCCACAGTTGATAAGGCTGACATCGACGTGCCGTCAATAACCCCTCCATTAGTTGAGATTATTTCTAACAGTTCGCTAAGTTCTTCCTGAACATCCAACTTGTAACTTAATTTTGTAAGAAGTTCTTTCTCGAAAAACCAGCCTATGCTAATTAAATCTGATTAACACTCAATGAACAAAGAACACTTTCATTCCTGCCATGACAATCAACAGCAATATGAATTCTGATAATACATCTCCTTGCCATGTGAGCTGAATGTTTCCGCCGTAACTTGGTGAATTCGTCACCATCTACATCTTTTGAATATGTTAGTTTGAATTTAGGAACGATTAGTATACACTTTGACATTAAAATAAATCGGCTTTTGATGTACCTTTTGCAGAAGATAACTGACGCAGAAACAGTCAATTCGTTCATTTCGCTTAAACAATGACAAAAGATACCAAACTATGTTTTCTAGATTTCGGTGAAATCGAAGCTTTTAACCGCTGCAAAAAGATAATAGATTGAAATCATGAGTCAGTTGAAGCTAGACCACCATTGAAAACCTGGGAGCACTGGACGGCCGTTTCGTCCTAGTATGGGACTCCTCAGCAGTGCGCATCCACGACCCCGCACCACCCGGGGCTCGAACCCAGGACCTACTGGCTTCGCGCGCGAGCACTTAACCATTGGACCACTGAGCCGGCATCCAACGGTGTTAATGTCTAACTTCAACCAATCCACGAAGTTGCGCTACCGTACACCATTGTCCTCAGTGAGTTCCTATCTCACAACAGACCTGGTTGAACTCCAGTGGTAACGACTTCTCACTAGAACTCCAGAAGTGTCTCCTGAAGTCAGTCACTAGTGAGCAGGTGATTATTATTATTATCAGAATGGGTTTTGTGGAGATTTTAGAAATTTCACAAGTTGAAATCATGAGTCAGTTGAAGCTAGACCACAATTGAAAACCTGGAAGCACTGGACGGCCGTTTCGTCCTAGTATGGGACTCCTCAGCAGTGAAAAAGATAATAAGCAGTAACCACTGAAATTTAAACTGCCTGTAGAACTATCATACTGAGCACGTTTTATCTACCATTTTGCTTTGGCACAACTTTATATTGGAAGATATAAGCTCATAAAATCTCAAAGCTTTATATCAAGATAAACATGGCTAAAAATCTATTTACGTTTCCTGTCCAACAGGTCTACTTATCTGTAAGCTATAACCATCCGAATCAACTACTCTTGATGATTTTGATTCGTAATTTCTATTTTGTTTTTACGTAACAAGTAAATGAAAGGCATGACTTCATACGTGAGTATGCACCTCGAAGTTTCCCAAGATGATAGTAAAGTTAATATATTTGAAATCAACCATCCATGCTCTGAGAATTCAACAGAAAATACCAACCTTATCCTTACATAAACCTAGCTATATGAAATAAATTCCATCACCATTAATATTATTAATGAAATTATATCCATGTCTTTTAATCACTTTTCGACAATTACTGTGTTATTATTTCAGTTGGCCATTACTCAATGGGAGCCAAATATACTTTCCTCGGATTATGCAATGCCCCGAGAAGTTGAATATTTCATTGTATTGTACTGTTTGTTTCCAATAAAATACACTCAATTCCTTTTTAGTAAAATGTGCTATGTTAAATAAACAACTACGCACAAACGCTGCCTTAGTTTACTACTTGAATTGGAGAAGAATGACTAAATGAAACTAGAACTTATAGTAGAATATTCATCAGCATACATATACCAAAAATTAGTCTCAAAGATGAGTGATTAAACTGATATTACACAAATCTGAAGTTGGTTGAATTTTAACTGTGTAGGCAATTAACTAGTAGTTTTCACTAACTTTACTAGGTCAAGCAACCAGCTTTTTTAGTCAGCGAAGAGTATATGAAAAAGGTTATCAGAGTACATGAGACGTAGTACGCAATAAACTGACCTCAATGAAAATTGGTTACAATAAGATAAACTCAACAGTTGTCTTCATTTGATACATGATATCATATCCATCAGTGTAACTGGATTTTACTAGTCAAAATGTGATTGCCATAAGAGATTCGACATGTCATTAAGCTTGTTTCTTGAAAGCAAAACTATGAACTCCCCACTTGAATTTATATTATGAGGTTTGAATAAATATTAAGTCATTTAAGAAACAGGTTTGACAAGTCCTTTCACCTCGATGTGGAAATTAAGTTAAACAATTAACAATAAAAATCATAAACATAATCTACACTTTATTTAAAATACGTGTTTCCTCCATAGATTTCTACTGAACTATTCAACTGCGGAAGGCGGGGGCGATTAGTGTCGAGTAGATCCGTAACTCAAGTTAAAAATATACAATTTCCTTACTTGCAAAGCAGATAAACAAAATAATGAGATTGACTATGAAGTCAAGTCACGGTGGTAAGATTTGCAATAAATGTTTCGTCATGAATTTACCATTTACAGGAAAATTATAAAGGTAATAGGATCATACTCTTAACACCTACTAAAGAAACACAATTGGAAAAGATGTTCCATTGAAAATGGTTGAAGCATATCATCAATTCCAACACTCAAATGAAAGTCTGACTTCCCATTTCTTGCATTCAACATGAAACTTTCGAGTTAGATAATCAGTTATGAAAAGCTTTTCAAAGCACTCATTTTAGGTAATATATACAATCACTGATAACTGGTTCTAGAAAAATGTACATATTTTATCGAGAAAATTACTATTAATCAATCCCGTAATTATGGTATTGTATCATGTCCAAATGCGACCAGGCTATTCTAGAGCTTAAAAAACAATTAAACGTGAATTAATCACCCTCGAAACTCCGTACATTTCTTTTCAAAGCAAATAAAATTCCCTCGTTTTATCACAAAAATACTGTGTTGCGAGAATTCAGTTGATTCGGTCTTACAATCGTAATCTAATTGATTGTGGGTGATTGAACACCTAAGAAACAAATCCCTGTATATTAAACCCTCATATAAGAAGGAGTCTCATCGTGCGTATTTTACACAAACAATTTTGGACTGAATTAGTTACAAGTTTACAATTATCATGATATTTTAAAAAGGCCAAAATAAAGCATGTATTAGTGAATTTGACGTTATATGTTAAAAATGGTTAAATATAACTTTCTCAACTAAACCAGTACTTACACAATAAATCAAGGATAGGTTAACGATGATGGGCTTCTCCATGTGTGTATACCGATTCGACTGCTCCTGTGGAGCTAGTTACATTGGCCGTACTCAGAAGGCTTTATCCTTGCGTGTTCACGAACATGTGCCAGGACGGTTAGGGAAATGAGTTACTAAATAGATCAACAGTACTATTCTTTCTCATTTGGTAGATAGTGAACATTACATCAAAATAGAGGGAGTTTTTTGGGTTTCATATCAAATTCCGAAGGATCTACATCAAGCAGCTAGATTACGGCTATTCTACATAGCTGAAGCCATCTGGATCAACTCCGTAGAACCGAACTTATGTAACCAGAAAAGATATAAACAGCCTTTATGTTTACCGTGGCCTACTACAGGATCACCGAATACCTAAACTGAATATTATTATTATTACTTGACACTTCAACTCATTCTGACCTTTATTAAATGACCTTGCTAATATACAAATAACACAATTTCGAAGTGTATATGTCGTAACAGATGCAAACGTTCACCATTTTTAACATATAACATTGTCAAATTCATAAATACATGTCTTATTTTGGCTTTTGCAAAATATCATAATTATGGACTTATAACTGTAAAACCTGATGATGAAGTTATTGAGAACAATTGTTTGCTCAAATATTCTTCATTTTTGAATTAGTTACCTACATGGAAAATATTGTAATAGTTAAGAAAGTTATCTGCATACTAAATGACTGTATATTGTACTCAGCAAATAGATGAGAAAGAAGAATAAGCATATTTTAAAAAAAATCAATATAATCAAATGATTTGTATATACAGATCTCAATAAACGGAACAGAACAGTTAACGTCTCTTTCCGAATCCTCGACTTTTTGGCCTTCCAGGACGCCCAACTTTATTCTTACGCTTTCCATGTTTTTTTCCATCTTTAGCTTTTTGCTGTCCACGTAAATCTGCTTTCATTCTTTTATCTACAATTTTGACTTTAGCCCCTTTTTGAGGTTTAGTTCCCCCGCTACGCGAACCAGCTTTTGTATTTACAATTACATGAAGAGGGCGACGCTTCTTTTTCAACAGGCCAGCTTTCTTATAAAGTCTAAGTGTAAAAATGAAAATGATGACTAAATGGTCACACACTAACACAGTGAACTAAATTTACTGATGAGCAACTTATGGGTTAAAGATGTTAAAAATTTATCAAAGGTACTGATTTGTCTGCATATATCAACAGCCTATGTTCGAATACGGTGTAACAAATACGCTTACAGACAATCTTTGTATAAACAAACTGAATAAGGATTCCAATGCGTAAGATGTAACATTTGGATGCTTTTTAAATGAACTAATATGTTATGTAATTATCTAAAACAAAGGTACACTGTTACTAGGGGTTTGCAATTTCCTGTTCATATCTGATGAACGAGTTATTTGTTTGTATAACGCGTTGGAAGCTTGAAGTTCAAGGTTATGGGTTCAACACCGAGGTGGAACTGCACTCAGATAACGACTACTAAATGGGACGAAACACGTGTCCTGGATTCCACTGCTAAACATATACCAAAATATACACTGGATGAAGATAGTGATATTAAGTAGCTGAAAATCCATGCAACTCAGCAATTAAGAACAGATTAATGTAGCTGGTTTTAATTCATATTTAGGATCTGTCACATTCTGTCCAAATGACAGAATGTGAGGCAGGATTCGGACGTGCGACCCAGTTGTTGAGGATCGAATGTTTATACAACTAGTTTGGAGTTCTGTAGTAGCCGCTAAAGGTTCTGTTACACATTCATTTAGAAAGTGAATAATTAAAACCTTCAAAACAAACACGAAGTAGATGCTATTTCCAAAGATGTATAATTACCCTACTATTAAACTATATTCAAGTACTAACAACTCAAGCCAAAACTAACAACGTATTTTTTATACCAGCACTTACTGTTTTATTTGTTGCCACTTTTCAGTTTCTGGTATTTCATCAGATATACCTTCTGCCTTCTGACGAATTCGTTTTAAACGTTTGGCTAAACGAGCTTTTTTACGTGCTTTGGCTTGTTCCGCTTTTGAAAGAGAACGTCCCATCGTAGGTACATCGACCGGGATTTCCTCCTACGATAGTAAAAATAAAAACAATTAGGGCAAAATATAACACGGACTACAAATAACGATATAAGTACAGATATAAAAAACTGTAAACGATAGTTAGATGTAAGAAAATTCAGTTTTTCTACCAAGACCGAGTCAAACTTATCAACTCCAAATGATTGTCTAGATCTACGTAAAATTAAAAAGATCCAAACACAATTATCGAAGAACAGGCCCCCAGAGTAATAAAAAAGCAGCTTCATACACAAAAACAATTGTGTATATCATTTCCGCTTACCGCCCACAACCAAACGGCCAAGTAGAAAGGTTTGTGGATACATTCAAGAGAGCTCTAATCAAGTCGAAAGGGGAGGGGATGCCAGCGGAAATATTGTAGAACTTCCTATTCGTTTACTGAACGACACCTAGTGTATGCTATCAGAATAGAAATCCCCGGCAGAGATGCTCATGGGAAGAAAGTTGAGGACGATACACAATGTGATGCTCCCGAGAACCACACCATCACAGACCAGGTCCCAGAAGCTACTAACACACGAGGTTGGATGTCCGATGTTCGCTCGGGACTACAGACCAAATCATGGTCCCTGGACAGAAGCACATGTGGCCGGAAAACTGGGTCATGTCATGCACGAAGTGGAGGTGGGAAGAGACAGGAGGACTCGACACCGAAACCAGCTACGTAAGAGGCTAGCTCTAGCTCGCCCATCGACAGACGGAAATATTCCTCTGGACATCCTGTTGGATACCTCTAGTCTGCCCGTAGTTCCAACACAGGAAGAAGCACAACGACAAGTCGGTCTACCGTCCAGCAGGTGGTCACTGCGACAACGGCGACAGACGGTCAATATGCAAGTGGACCCCATGAACGTACGTTACTAAGAGAGATGTTGGGGATGTTAGATCCCCAGAGTTCATTTGGTAAATGCCTTATTTTTGTAATTCTATTTTAAAAATTTGAATTCCTTGTTTTTGCGCCAAAAGCACCCATTTTAACCTTCATGTCCTATTTCCCACTTGGGAGGATCTTAAATGATATTGTTTCGTTGTCTTTTACAGTATGCTATTTTGTAACGTTTCCCAAGGACATTTTTATGTTGCATATATAGGCTTGAGTTGTGCTTATTGTGCTTGTTCGTGCTTCTGGCTGCGTGTAGAACATATTTCCCTTTTCTGAACTTGGGGTTCTCTCTAGTTAGCAGAATAGCTAGCATATTGATCATTGTGCCACTGAGTGTTCGTTCCGTTCTCAGATTAGGTGAACTCGTAATCACAGCACTATGATATTAAGGGATCATAAAGCGGGGGAATATAAATTAATCCCTATTCGAGAATCTAAGAGCAGCAAAGCTTTAGAAGTACAAATCAGAAAATTTTCTTCCATTGTCATG